TTCTACTTAAATTCTTCCTTATAACAGATAAATGAAAGTGCGGTGGTAGACGATGACTATACGTACATTAATGGGAGTACTATGATTTCCGTAGTGATAATAACAATAATACAAATATTAACAATAGCTCTCTTTTGTCTCTGTTAACAAACTCCCATTTCAATAAAGCAGAGGCATTTTGAATGAGTGGGGGGCGCATGCGCAGAGCGGTCAGTGTGAATTAGCGCTAGCTAGCTGAGCTCACTTGTCTCTGACTGTTTAACAGTTTCTGTTGTTTCTGTTCTGCGGGATCTGCGGGATTTACGTGATTCACGTGATCAGCCTCAGAGAACATGCCCAAAAATAAAGGTAAGACCCGCGAGCGTGTGTTCGTGCGTGTGATTCTCAGCAGGTTTGATTGTGTCGATGCCGCCGCGGACACACGCAGCGAAAACGTGACACCGAGCGGCTAAAGCTAGTTAGCAGCGCGAGCCCTCCACCGAGCTCTCACCCGTGTCGGCCCGAGCCAAACTAAACCAACACGTGGTTAGCTTAGCTGAGTTAGTAGTCAGGTTAGAGTTAACTAAATAACTTGACTAACTAACTGTGTACCTCCTCGTCAGCGTAGCTCCAACAGCTAGCGAGCTACTGCTAGCTAGCCGCTAGTTAAACCCCACCCCGGTCTGGCCTGGGTCATTTTGTTTCCCCTAACGTAACCCGAGGTAACAGTTCACCAGGTCACCGGGTTAGTTCATGTCAGTGTCCGCGTGATGTGACGTCTCTCACGGTGGAGGAACTCAACGAGGCGACGCTAACGTTAGCCACAGCTGCTAGTCTTTTCTCCTCACCTCATTCAAACAGGTGACGTGAACCGTGTGTCCGCTCCGAACCCACGAGAGCTGCTCCGGCGGGTTGTGTCCTCTGACATGTGGTCCGGGGAGCAGACCCCAGGTCAGCGAGTGAACTGAGCCGCTCTGGTCTGTGTTCGCAGGTAAAGGAGGAAAGAATCGGCGACGTGGAAAGAACGAGAATGAGTCTGAGAAGAGGGAGCTGGTGTTCAAGGAGGACGGACAGGGTGAGTCCCGGGTCAGGGGTCTGCTGGGGCCCCAGAGACCCTCCACGTCAAACCCAGTCTGGACCCCGTCACTGTAGGAAATCAGTTTTCACCTGTTATCTCTGGTAAAAAGCCCAGGAGGTATTTTAAAGCCCCACAGCCTCATCTAACCATCTCTGTGATTGAATATTCATCATTTCATCATTAAAAACTTTCCCATGAGTCACAATGAGGGACGTTAATGTGTTGACGTCGCTGGTTAATAAACTAACTAATAAAACTTCACCAGTGTCCAGAATGTCCCCTGGTACACGAGGACACACTGGGCTGGTGGTGATCATGTTGTTCTATTGTTTGGATTCCTGTAGTTTGATATCGGTTCTGGCAACAACTCTGAACACAAGAAGCACAAAAACTCTGTTGTTCGTCTTTAAAATGTGAATTTGTCAAGTATCTTTGTGTCTGTGACACAGAACAAGCTGTTACCTTGAGCTTTATGAACTTGCGCTTAGCTTTTCTTTTTAAAAATTCTTCTCCAACAGTTTTACAGCCTAAACTATTTGGTTCATCATAAACGGGTCGGCACTAATTCATCATTAAATATCAGTGAGGCACAGCTCTTCATCTGAGAAGATCGTGTTTAGCATTTTACATCTTCATGTGTGAACAAATTAAAGTCCACAATTGTTGTGTTTAATTTAGTTTCATGTGTATTTGGTGCCATAAACAAATTAGAGGCAGTGTTTGTGTTCAGGATAAGAGTCGTAGAAAAGAAGAATCTTTGTGGCCAAGTCAATCGAATTAAAACACAGACACTAGGCCACAGTGTGAAGACGTCTTTTACGCAGGACACGGACCCGTCTGAGAAAATATTGTCTCGTTCACGTGCGTCGCATTGGACCATTTATAAGAAAATGAGACGCTGCTGTTTTACTTTTATCACGATGGCATTTAAACCTGAACTTATCCTCAGTCGTATCATAAATCACATCATCGTTATTTCATAAATTTAAAAACAGTGTTTTAAAATCAGAATATTTGCAAAAACAAAACGATGTGATCATAAAAGACGTCAAACGTTATCGATATGTTGCCTCGGTGTTAGTCTTGTTTTGCGTTGCAGCAGCCTGCATGTCATGTGAATGAAAACAATCTATTCTAAGAGCAGAATAATGATGTTGTTTCCACTCGTTTTGACCCCAAACGCTCCTCCTCTCTCTGGATTGGCCTCTTTTTTCTGTTCAGCTGTAACAGTAGAAACTTCCTGTTCAGAACAGCGTGCTGTCGCTCCAGTACTTGTTATTCCTTCACTTTACTGTATGTGTATTACATATATTTTTTATGTTAATAATTCTCCTATGAACCTTATGGAAAACTCTATTTCTTATTATTTCTGTATTGATGAATCATTAATTCCTAAATTCACCAGTGTGTTAAAGAGTCGGACACGATGTTGTAATTCTTCGCTCCCTTGTTGTTGGATATGAAACATCTGCTTTGAAAACGAAACTGCAAGAATCTCTCCATCCTGGACGTGGAATTAGGTTTTTCGAGCGACTGGAAAGGATTATGGAGTTGAATGAAACGTCCTCTGCTCTCCGGTGTCTTTCAGAATACGCTCAGGTGATTAAAATGTTGGGGAACGGACGACTGGAGGCCATGTGCTTCGATGGCACCAAGCGGCTTTGCCACATCAGAGGAAAACTCCGGAAAAAGGTAGGAATGTCCCGAGCAATCCTCGCACCTTTTCCCAGCAGCACACAGGAAGCCCCCTGACATAATGCTGAATCAGCGTGGCCTCAATGGCCTGTAAGCCCTGTGTGTGTGTGTGTGTCCGTGTGTGTGTTTGTCCGTGTGTGTGTGTTCGTTCATTCGTGTGTGTCACAAAGTGCAGTGTGTTGCTGTACAAGGTGTAATCTTTGCTTTGCTTTTCTCCAGGTTTGGATTAACACGTCAGACATCATCCTGGTCGGACTGAGAGATTACCAGGTGTGTTGTCCACTCTCACACGACACAGAACAGTCGCTGCACTGACCCTCAGTGAGAGGACGCAGCAGAATATCTGTCTGAACGTCGTGTAAATGCTTTGAAACGTCTGAAGCTTGTCAGCTCAGAGAAAACTGATAAAGGAACCAGGCAGCATAGTTGAGACAAACATTGATAAATGTCCTGTGTCTATGGGACTCATTTAAGATCCAAACGTCTTTGTTTGTACTCCGTCATCTCCAAAATCAAACTGTCCGACTGCTGCTGAGCTGAAGAAAGTTATTGATGCCTTCATTTGACCCTGGCTCAATTATTTAAAGGTCCATATTCAGAAAAAAGGGAAAACAGCTAAATTCTACAGAATGTAGCCTCGATTAAAAGTTCAGTTAAAATACACTTTATTAAAAGATAAAGAAAGATTAGATATGTAATAGTTTTAAACCTCATTATTATTATACACAGGTTTTCCATGTTCGTACAGTCTCGTGTTGGCAGTAATGTCACCTAACTATATAATATAATAATAACTGTATTCTTAAATTAATTTGTAAATCATTCACCTGTTTGCTGCTGCTCGTCCAGGTCGAGTTTATTAATTATCATATTTGCTGTCTAATCAAATTTTTAACAGAACGTCTCATGTACTAGTACACATGAAGATGATACCACAGTAAACTGGACTTTAAATAAATGAGTCCATCATCATGTGAAAGTGGATAAATGATAAAGATGTTGATCTGTGAGCATCAGACTTTGTCAGCAGTCGTTTCATACTCACATGATGTTTAATGGGTCCAACCAGTTTCTGGCCCAGTTGCCTGAAGCAGATCCAGATTCTGTGTTTGTAGAATGTGTAGAACATGTTGCCTTCAGCCTTTCTTCTCAAACCACAACTTGTGTCTCAGGATACTAAAGCTGACGTCATCCTCAAGTACACTGCAGAAGAGGCTCGCAGTTTGAAAGCCTACGGAGAGCTGCCAGAGCACGGTGAGTCAAACCACCACACCGACACCACTGCGCCTGGATCCACCCGTGAAACAAGTCCGGAGATTTGTTTCTAAAACTCCTCTCTGAACATCTTCAGTCCAAATGAGTCGGCTCGTAGTTCCGCGGACTCTTGTTGTTGTAGTTGGATTGTTGAAGGGTTGAGGATCGGTGAAATAACACCTGCAGTTACTGACTTACACCAGCAGAGGTCTGCTCCACAAACATTGTGGTTTTCTGATCCTTTCAACACCATGTCTGTTTTCTCACAGCCAAAATCAACGAGACGGATCCGTACGGACAAGGAGACGATGACGAGGTCCTGTTCGACGACATTGGAAATGATGATGAGGAGGTTGATGAGGTGAGTCCCGTTGAATTTCTAATCAACAATAAAATGTTAGAAATTAACAAAACATGCAGCATCAGTCACCGCAGCACGATAATAAAGTTCATTTGAGTAGCTTTATATAAGAATGATCATTTGGGCAGATCTGTTATGTAATGACGTCACTTTAAATATCTTATCTTAATGTTGATCACAGAACAATGATGATATGTGGCCACAGCTCCACTCAAACACAAGCTGCTTTAAAATAAACAGAAACTATGAAAGTTCCAGTCATTTCTCTTTACATCACAATAAATAAAAAATAAAATGAAAGTAATTGTGTTTCTGCTCTTTTCTTTCCAGATCTAAAGACCTGCTGCTCGAGGGGGAAGGTGGGATTTTACTAGAGATGCTCCGATTGGGATATTTTGAGCCGAAACACCGCACCAATAATTATAATTTTTTCTTAAGATCAGCCAGTTCAGTCCAGTTTATTAACACTCAGAATGTTTTCTCCAGGTTGTTTACCATCAGCAGACGTCTTTGTTGTTTGGGAAACTTTTAAGTGCATTTCACGGAGGGGGGGGGGACATCAGTACTTAGATTAGTTATTATTATAAATGAAGATGAGATGCTGCTTCAGTGAGTCTGTGTCAGTTATCACACGTAGCAACGGGAGGACGCTGCATCAGGCGACCTGCTCACCGATGATGATGATGATGATGATGATGATGCAGACAGTTCATGCCGTTGGACTGAATCAGAGCAGGCTGATCACCAGCATCGTATTTGGGCGAATATCTGGAGCATTGCTAGATTTTTACCTTTTGCTTCTCACGTCAACAGAAAGGCAAGTTTGCCGTCTCATTCTCGTAATAGTAGTAGTTCTTTTTTTCCCCTTTGTAGCCAAAACACTCGCTCCCTGTCTTTCACGACTGCAAAATATCTCACACCAAATGCGTCACCTTTTAAAAAAAAAAATAAAAAAATGTATTTATATTGATTTCACATTATGTGGAATTTAAGTACAGAATCTCTGGATTCGCCAATAAAAAGACAGAACTATGACGTGTTTTTCTTCTTTCTGCAGTCATTGCAGCTGTCGCCTGTTAGACACGTTTATAAAGTCCAAGACAGCTTGAAGTTTGAAGGCTGTTTATTAATTATACCAGAAAAATAATGTCAAGGTTTTTTATTTTGTTGACATGATATTCCACCAACAACGAATCAGTCGACGAGTTGCTTGTTTTTGAATTGAGCCGCGGCCGAATGAAGGCAACCCCCTGAAATCATAAAAACAAAACTCAACTGTAAAAAGAATCAAATGTATTTTTCTGTTGTTTCCCTTGTTTCTGTCTCTTTTTATCTTTTTTTTTTTTTCCTCTAATGTTCTGAAGTCTTCGCTGCTCGCTCTGCGGCTGCAACACACAGTGAAGCTCGGCCGGTCGGCAGCTCTGTCTCACTTTAGACCAGCGGTTCCCAAACTCTTAACCACAGATACACACCAGTAAAACCTCACAGCTGTGCCGTCTGTCTTACTTCGTCTCTTAACCTCTGGCAAATTGATTATATATACAGTATATTATATATCTTCTTCTTCTCCCCCTCTGGAAACTTCCCATGTTCCCTGAGGGGGCCCAGCACCTCGGTTTGGGAACCACTGCTCTAGACCACATGCGGCCTGTCGCTGTTGTTGCTGTAACTCTGAATCAAAAATAATTGTACTATGATGTTTGAAGGCTGGTTTCCAATAAAGATCTTAACTCTCGGCCAAGCTGGCAAAAGTGTTTTTTAGCTGCCTGACGCTCATCAGGAGCTCGTCTAAAAGAGCTGCAGCTCGACTCGGGCCCTGCACAGCTCCAGGCTGAGAACGTCCAGGGCCCCTGGGTGTTTGGTGACACGACACCAGACCTCTTACCAACAGAAGAGATAAAAACCTGAGTGAGAGTAAGAGCGGCTGGTTCCTGAGATTCAAATAAGCATCAGCTATAAAAGGCTTTTCTCCGATAATTTAATGTCGACTATGATTGATACAGTTTTCTCTCTGCTTTTCAGACCCTCTCTGTAATTCACATGTTATGGACTCTTCTGTTTGATCATTTTTCTTATTTCAATATATCCTCCTGAAATGTCCTGCAAATGACAGAGCTCCCAGCAGGTCTGCTCGCTGTGAACAACCCGTCCCAGGATACAGAATCCCTGTGTGTAGCTCAGTATTGGTTTGTTTCCACTACAGTTTGTATCGTAGTTATTTATAGAGCAGCCGTAGGTCATGACTCAGTGGACCGACATGAGTGTGAGCGACTGAAAACAGCACTGACCCGTATTACAGACAGAGAGAGAGCGAGAGAGCAATCACCATCCTCACAAACATTCACTTGGACTCAGAGATGACCTCATAAAGCTGAGCTTCTTCAAATCGTAACAAACTCGACCATCACTGACAATAATTCCTCAAACCTTCCATCATGCTGCAAACTGTTTATTCTGACCAAAGCTGGAACAACTTATTTGGGGTTTCTCTGTGTTCTTTATTAAAATCTGATTGATTGGTGGTTTGCTGATTTAAAGCCGTTTCTCTGGGGGGTTTGGAAGACGAGCACCTGTGCAGCTGGATTTCACTTCACGGACAGATTAATCGTCCGAGAACGCGATGTGCTATGAAATGGTTCAGGTCGGAAATGATCCTGCTTTGCTTTGCTGCAAATTCCTCCGAGCTGGAGACGAGCAGCAGAGCATCGTCATGTTTGGACTGAAGTTCTAACATCGCTGTCTTCAGGTCTTCCTTCTCTTTGGCGTCTTTCTCCCTCAGAGACTCGAGTCGGCTCAGATCAGCTCTGACCAACTCGTCCTGCTCCTCACGATCACGCAGGACTTCCACCAACTGTTGGACTTCTACCCTTTCTCTGTCCATCAGAGATTTCACATGGGTCAGCTCCCGTGTCTTCTCATCTCTGTCCCTGAGGACGTCCTCAGCATCGTCTAGTTGGAGCTTCAGAGTCCTCACCTCTTCTCTCAATCTGTGAATCTCACCCTCGTGTTTCTCTCTCAGACCTTCAAGGTGTCTCATCTCATTGGTCAGGGACTTAATGTCCTGGTATAGATTTGTCTCATTCACTCTCAGAGTATAAATGTCTCCTAACAGGTGTTCGTTCTCTGCCCTCTCACACTGCAGGAGTCTGTCCTTTTCATTCTGATACACCAGAGACGTCTCCCTCTCTCGCAGATCCTGAACTGGGGCCAACTGTTCGTTGTTCTCGTCCTCAGTGGGGATGTTGATCTCCACGGTTCGCTGACAGAGAGCTACTTGCTCGGTTTGCTTGGTTATCAGCTCATCTTTATTCAGGATGGAGACCTGAGCTCCGTCCAGCTGGACCTCCAGGTCACAGACTGACTTCTCCGGCATGTAAATCCTCCTCCGCAGGTCCGAACCTCCCGTGTATCTACGTTGAGCCATAGCTCAATATAGTTGTGTTTGTTGTTATCTGTTCTTCACCTGATCTCGGACACTTCAACGTGTCTTCTCCTCGGTTGGTGCGTTGCCCGTTAAGATGCATTGATCTGCTTTGATCTTGTATTCCGTCCTCCCCTTTGATCTCGACTCAATCAAAGGACAGAAGCTCTGATGACCAATGACGTCATATGAAACTCATGCCTGTGCGTGATGCGTGCCCGTGAATCGGCGATCGTGAGCAGCTGCTGGAGCGCGCACCAGTGCACGTGCACGTGCACCTGCAGCATTTGAATTGTGGAGGTTTTGAAATAGTGGATCTTTCAAAATAAAACGCAGTTTTGGAAACGGAGCTGTGATCTGCTCCCCTCCCTCCATCTGTCTCTCCCTCCCTCCATCCATCTGTCTCCCCTCCCTCCATCTGCCTGTCTCCCGTCCTCCGTCTGTCTCTCCTCCCTCCTCCCTCACTGCCTCCTCCCGAGTCATCGTGCCCGAGCAGCCGCTCTCCTCTCGACGGACTCTGGCTCCGGTTGGTGAAACCGACGACGACCGTGAAAATGACCCGAGTGTCTCCGAGTGGCTGCGCGGACATGACAGGTGAGGACAACGCGTCGCACGGTTCCCTGCAGGTGTGATTGATTGACACACGGAAGGTAACGCCTCATTCTGACGCTTTTATATTTCATCTGTTCAGAAATCTGCTCTGTGTATGACGTCACTGCAGGAGATGTAACACACACCAGAACATAGGGATCCAGTGACGTCATTTATAGGACACAACACATTCTTCTTATTATTTAAAAAATCCATCTTCCTCTTTTTCATGATGTTCACGTGTCCCAGTTTCTCCCTGTGCACTGACTGACAGGCTGATGGTTCCTCATGAATTCAGCAGCTCACTCCCACCACCACCGTCCTGTGTCTCACTCCTCCACTGCATTGGGGGAGGAAAAGCCTCTGAGACCTGTGATTCAGCTCATTCTTTTGGTTGTGATGTGATTCTGAGTGAGGATGAGGCGAAGCTGGACCCCGGAGACTCACCTGGGGTTTGCTTGTATTTGCATATGTGACGGCTGCATGTGTGTGAGTGTGTTTGTGGGCAGAGGATGCAGGCGAGTCCATGGATGTTCTCAGGCTGCTTGCATGTCGTCTTCATAGATACACAAATAAGAAATTGGCTGAGGGTTACGCTTGGTTGTCCCACACCGACACCTGACCTGAAGGCACCACACTGACAAGCAGGTGGATGTATTTGGACGAATGTTGATCACAGAAGCAGGAGTCACGTTCACAGCTGAAGGTTTTTATCTGTATTAACACGTCTGTCAGTGCTGCATGAATCATGTCTGACTCCTCTCTCCATCAACACAGCGCTGGCCCCTCCTCCTACGCTGCTGCTCACCAATAGGCATGTTTCACCTGCCCGATCGCCATCCAATCACAGCGTCCCTCCAGGTAAACTTCTGAGCATCACTCGATTGTCATCATGGCGTCATAGTCCAGAATATAAGGCAGGATGTGAAATCACCTCTGTTGTCTCAGTGCTTTACATAAAAAAGATATTTCAGTTGAAAGCATCTGTTCTGGTCCAGTGTTAGAAATGTGGAATCCTCTCAGAGTCATCCTGCTGACAGACAAACAGACAAATGTACACTGGTGAAAACACGACGTCCTCCGCCGAGGTTGTAATGACACGTTTAAAACCACACAAACCAAATCAGCTTCGAATTAGAAACATGTTCAGTGTTACAACCTTCAGGGGCCTCAAGTCATTCCTGCGTTTCTCTTTCACCTGTCTGAAGACGCCCGGCTGCATTTAGCCAAAGAGCGACGGGAGGACAGACAGAAGACACAAGGTGAGTAACACTGTCCTGTTCGTCTGTCTCACACACACACACACACACACACACACACACACACACACACACACACACAGTGGGTACAGATTCAGTATTAACATGAATAAAGTGCAGATGATGTGGTTTGAGCTTCTGATTGAGGCAGTTGATATAAATGAGTGGACTTGACTTTAACTGGGTTTAACATGTGACAAGCAGTAAATG